TTTCTTAGCATCGTGACTTACATATGTCTCAAAAATATGTCTGTTGATTTGATTTGCTATAGAATAACTTCAGCAGAGTTAAAGAAGTAATTTTGCTCCTTTCCACAGCAGTAAACCGCCATGAGTTTGTTACTGTAAGGTTGCCTAAGGCCAGGTTTTCAGACTAAAAGTGAGCGTTGGTCATCCATCAAGGAAACAGAATTGTTTAGCACAATAAACTTTTTAGTGTACATTTGGCCTAAAGGAATTTTTTTTTTCTATCTGTATGTCCCAGATTCTTCAAATAACGACATATTCCTTGTGTTTATGTTCCTGGTTATCAGAGAAATCTAAGTCTAATCTAAAAAGGCAGAAAATGCACTCTAAATGTGGTCTAATGATGAGTAAAATGCAAGGCTAATTTTGAGAGTGTCTCTTAGAAAAATGTCAATAAACATTCCAACATGAGACCCGGGCTCTGGACTTAGATCTTGGGGCAGAGGCTTGCACTCAGCTCTGCAAATGATTAAGATTACAGGTTGCTGGAAGCTTCCACCTCCTGTGTGCAGAAACGTTTCTGCTTGCAAGGTCTGCTCCAGGGAGGGGATGAGGCACTGCCATCAGCCTGACTCCTGACCCTGGGAAACTTCAAGAGTTCTTAATCAGTTGATTTCATGTTTTTAGGTTAATTCCATTTCCTATTCCGAAGACTGAAAGAAAAACATCGGTGCTCAAGAATGAAAGAAAGAAAGAAAAAAAAAACACCTTAAGATTCTTGCTTTTATCTTAGAGAATGTGATTATTAATGGCTGTTTTAGAAGCACTTTTAAATTTGAAGGCGTTTCTCCCCTCCTGTTTTAATGCAGGAATCCTGAAGCTGCAACTGGTCTTCCAGCTCCTTTCTCCCAGATCCTTTGCTCTTACTCTTTCAGACCCTCAGGCAAGTCTTTCATCCTCTTCTGCATGCCACAGAATAGAGCCCTGTAGCTTTTCCCTGTGTGTCGGAGGAAGGGGTCCAGACTTCTTTAACGCAGCGGCACCCATCGGCCAATCCATCTCACTCCTTCCTGTAACCATCAGCCATCCCCCCAAATCCCTTGGCACCCCTTTCCTTGAAACCAAGGCCCAAGGAGGTCCGACAGCCTCTCTTGCTGTGCCAAGCATCACTCAGCTTCAGCTGAAGTAATGTTTACATATATGATCTTTCCATGCCATTTAAAATATGTAATGGATACTGTGAAAACAATAGGCATATTCAAACTCCAATGCTGTGCACAAATGAGAGAAATATTCCAATACTCATATCAGAGCCTAATAGGTATAATTTTGCTCATGATCGAGTAATGTGCAGCAGCTTTCCCCAGACTGCTGGGTGGAACAAAGAAGTGGTTGTCAACCTTTTCAGAATCAGATGTTAATGATATTTCGTGTCTTTGTTGAGTCTGTGGAAAGCGGCTACTGCACCTAGAAGGGAAATGACTTCCATACCAACCGCCTTCAGCCAAAGTCATTCGGACTGGGAAAGCTGGACGGAGTCCATATTTACATTTCAGAAAGAGGTGTGAAGGAAGATTTCAAGACAGAATCCACTGAGCAGTCTCCCACTTGCCTTACCCTCCGTTCAATCTTATCAATGCTCTGAGGGGGCTTGTTATTTCCAACATACAGAAGGGGAGAATGTAACATAAACAAAGGGACGATGTGTTTTGGCAAAGGAGGGAAGTGTTTTCTGTGTTTTTGGAAACCTCTGAAATCCCAAAGTCGCACATCTTCCAGGGCTTGGAGGAGGGTTTATTCAAGTCTCGGCAGCCCAGGGAGCCATTAACTTTGATGCATCTTTTGCAGCAGAGAACCATGCAGTCTTTTCTCAGAGCTGTTTGTCAAGATTGGCTGCAGGCCTTCTAACAGTTTGCTTTCATTTCTTCTTAACTCTCCTTTTGCATCACTACTGCTATGTTCTCATTTCAACAAAATTATTTTTCATTTGTTTTAAGGAAAGATCTTAATTCAAAGTCCAAACAAAGAGTAGGACCCTTCAGGACTGTGTTCCAGCTGCCAGGGTTTAAGGCCACTTTTGATTTTTTTGGATTGGAGATATAAATGTATATCTAATCTTAAATCTCTAGGTATTGTGCAACTAACCGTTCAGATTCTGATAGAAATAGCTCTAAGGTCAGATTCATACCTTTCCTAGGAGAACACAGCCTCACACAAATTTTAAAGTACAAAATATACCTCAAATCTCTTTTTAATACCATGCTTATATTAAAATCTCACTTTCACAAGAAGTGAGACATCCTTAAGCAAAGATCTTTCTCTAGTTGTTCAAATGAAAATCAGGGATATTTCCCCTGTCGTATGGGCCCACTTATGAGGAACATGTCGGTCCATCTCTGACACTGCGAAAATTTTCTTACATAAATTAAATCACAAGCAACATGTCTTGTCAATGTGGAACCTCTTATGTGTATGTATGTACTCATGTCACAGTTCCATGGAAGTTCCAAAACACTTTATAGATGTGATCGTGACTGTACAATGTGTTGAGCAGGACATTCTCCAGTTATGGAAAATCAACAGGACTTTGGAACAACCAATTCAATCATGTTATTTTGAAGTCTGTTTCTGATTGCTTGGGCTCAGTGCTTTGCTTGTCCAAGTATTGCTTGTGAACCAGCAGCAGTACCTGAAGGCATGCAGAAATGCAGAATCTTGGGCCCAAATAAGATCTCTGAGTCAAGTTCCAGTGCCGTTGGTCTACCAACTACACTTGAACAGGAAATTCCTAGTGGATATAAAATTAGGTGCACAGGTCAGGAGAAAATCATTTTATGTATGATTAAATAATGTAATGATATCTTCTAAGTTATAATGTGGCTTTTCAAAATCCCTCTTTGTGTTTTAGGAGTATGCTTTTGACATGCTCTGACATGTAAATTTATAAATTCCCAATGGTGACTATTAGGTGATTATTCCAACACTTTGTACATTTATAAGCAACTATCTCAATACTTTAAGGGGAATATTTAAATATCACTGGAAATCTGAAATAATAAAAAAGTCATAGGTAATATTTATATAACACTATGTGCTAGAGACACCTCTGAGCACTTTGCATTTAATAAACCATTGAAACTTTTTGACCACCTTAGGAGATGTATTATTATTATTATTATTATTATTACTATTATTATTACTATTATTTTCTCTTTACAGATGAGAAAACTGAGGCATAGAGAGATAATGACTTGCCCAAATTTACAGGACTAGAAATGAAGGAGACAGGATTATTTTGATTGCTCTTAGGTGGTGATTAAGTAATGACTTTGAGCTGATATGAGCTTTGAGAGATCTTTAATGCCCTCTGGTTTTATACATGAAGAATATGAGACTCAGAAAGCTGCAAGGTTTGCATAACATTATAGACAAATTAGCGGCAATAGGGAATGTAGCTCAGCTTCTTGTAGTTTATACATTTGGGTCTTATTACCTCCCCAGGAAACAGGCAGATGCCCTGATGTCACACTAATGATATCTCCGTTTTGTCTCATTATTTAAAAGGAAGTGGGGGTAATGCCCATAAATTGGATGCTCCTAGTGTGGTAGAATTGCTCCTTCTCTTTCTATACCGCTTTTCAACCTTGACTGGTTGTGCATTTTTGCATTAATCACCCTGATTGGTGTTATATGTTGACATGTCTGCACCACACTAATTCTTGAGAGGTGAGATCATGTTTTATTCTTTTTTATGACCCTGATAATTACCATGGAAACAGATACACGGTAAACCTTTAGGAAATCATTGTTGTGTGGACAAATGAGTACTCCTTACCACCACCTCAGGCATGTAGTTCAGATGGGAAGTGAGACCCAGGAGGACTGGGTAGGAATGGAAGGAACCAAGCCCAAGGTCAACACAGAATAGAGAACTGTGGTTTGGTGGACCATTGATGGTGCTGCTAGTGATTTGTGCATAAAGTATACAGCTCTATCTTCAGGTAGTTGCCCATTTCTTTCCCATGTCTCTTTATTTATGTATCTTTTGTCTTGGTCATAAATTTTCAAAGGCAGAAATTTCTTTCTTTTGTGTTGTGCCTGGCTTTATACTGCACACAGAAAAGAATTAGTGAATGCTTGTGGGAATAACAATGAGACTGTTAATCTGCATAGGAGAGGATTTGTAATACAGGTTGAGCATCCTTCATCTAAAAATTCAGACCTGAAATGCTGCAAAATCTGACATCTTTTGAGCACTGACATTATGCCACAACTGGAAAATTCCACACTTGGTCTCATGCCATAAGTCTCAGTCCAAACACAGGTGTACTATGGTATTGTGTACAATGCCCTTGAGGCTATGTGTATAAGCTATATATGAAATGTAATAAATTTTGTGTTTAGACTTGGGTTCCATCATCATAATCTGCCCCCAATCCCGCCCCTTTTTAAATAAAGTTTTAATTCTGAGACAGGGTCTCGCTTAGTTGCTTAGGGCCTCACTAAATTGTTGAGGCTGGCCTTGATCTTGTGATCCTCCTGTCTCAGCCTACCAAGATGCTCAGATTATAGGCATGCACCATCATGCCCAGTCTTATATCTTTTTATGTATTTATAAACAATCAAAAAAATAATCCATAATCTGAAACAATTCTGGTCTCAATCCCTGCAAGATAGAGGCTACTCAGTCTATATTACCTTTTTCTAGATAATGCTTGCTCTTTGTGAAGAATTTTACTTATGTAACCAGGTGTATTGAGTAAGTTCTAGATGAACTAACTGGTCTGTCAAGGTTACAAGGAACAGTTAAAATACATGATTCACTTTGTACTAATTTAAAAATAGATCACAAATACTTTTAATGGTTAAGCAAGTTCTTACTAGTTTCAAGAGGGTATGGTTAGAGTGTTTCCCAGTTATTTTGGGTAGTCCTCAGAGGATTGATCCATATACCCCTACTCACCCATCAGTGAGCTGCAGGTGCTGCTAGACTCTGCTTACTTTCCTCTTGCTTTTTCCCACAGCTCTGGTAGGCCAAGTTACTGGTGAAGCATCCTCACAGCTGCTGTCTGTGAACATGGGGATCCACATCCATTCTGGAAGAGCTGCCTTTGGACACTTTCACTCATAATTCCCTGGATGGCAAGGAAAGTCATTTGAAAAAGAAAAAAAGACGAATGAAAAGGTCATGCCCTGTTAGACTTACTTTTAAAAGATAAACTATTTTGAGATGTTTGTGGATGCCCATGCATTTATAAGAAATGATAAAAGATTCACCATTCATCCACTGACACCAATGCAGGGGACAGTGACCTTGTGATCACTGATTTTCCACTGTTCCACTCTAATGGGGAAGGAGTGCGAAACCTCCTTATTGTCATCTGGAGATGGAAATTTAGACTCTTTCTAAGCCATTGGTGGCATTGGTGGCATGGGTAGGACCAGTTTGGGTTTTACACACTCCCCCCATCCCCTACCCCCCAAGGTGTAAGGCCAAAGTAGGGAGATAACTCATGGGAAAGTTTTCTGTTACTTGTGTGTTTGGTATTTCAGTTGTCAGTGTCTTTGGTTTCAATTCTGGAATACAGGAGACACAAGGAAAGCCTAGGAAGCTTATCACATTCTAAAGTCCCAGCCAAGCTGCTTTCTTTTCTCTACCTTTTGCTATTTTCCTATGTTTTAAATATATAGGTAAACTGTCCATGGCTGTTATTCGTATTAGTGAGAAAATCAGGGAAAAGTATGTCTACTCCATCTTTTTTAAAAAGCAGAAGACTTTATCAAATATTAACAATACTGCAGTGACATAGAAAATTTAGCAAATTGTTCGTTCAACCCATTGATTGTTGGAAAACAGGTTTTTGGCCAATTGAAGTGAGGAAGTTGCTCTAGAACGGTTACGTCAATCAACGTGAGCAACTACTAGGCAAGGCTGAGTAGAAGAATTGGTGGTAAATTCTTCAGAAAGCAGCTGAGCTCTGATATATTTTGAACAATTCCTCTTGAGTGACCATAAAAAACTTTTAAAAATATATCATTAAGAATACTTAATATTTATAGCACCTTACAAATGTAAAACACTTTCTTAAATATGTGATGCACTATAGAATTATATTAACGTCCCAGATATCTCTTTGTGAAGAGTCACCATAGTTCATTAGTTTGACAGTTTTACTAGCAACTAATTCAGAGAAGCCATTGGTTGTTATATGGATCTTTGGGTTACGAAAGAAGAGTTTTCATAACTAACAACGCTGAGTTTCTAGGTAAACTGAATTATTGAAATTTCCTTTCAGGAACAACTAAGCAATTTGCAGTTGTTGATCTTTCATTTTCAAAGGCCACTGCTTCCCCATGTCTTATCTATAGTAATGATTTATAGTCTTGGCTTTCCATTGCAAGACCAGGCAACTCGTCATTCCTTGAATAATTCATACCAGAGGTCACAAAGCAGTGATCTGATGATGCCATTTCATGTACTAAAATGGGTATTTCATACCATGGAGTATTAAAAACTTTTTATGAAACATTTAATGCAGTGAATTTTTACATAATAATAATAATTTCTTATTCTGAAAAAAAAATCGATGATTTAGGAATGACAGATCTACATTTCCTCGGCCAAGGTTCGAGCTGAGGTCTCTGGCTGATTCCAAATAGTCTCACTTATTTATGTTATCTGTTCATTCTTAAATCAATGAATAATTGGAATTTTTTGTAGAATGCATTGAAGGTAGGTGTGTTTCTGTAGATAAAGTAATGTAAGAAAAGAATATGTAGTATGTGCTATGAGATGTCCAGAATGGTATCCAAATCTGCTTTCTCAATAAAAATGAAAAAAAAATCTATTATATTTTAGGACCAGTATATACTTACAGGACCAGATCTAGAATCGATTTATTGCCTAGTTAGTAGCTCTCATAATTATTTTAATTTTCTTATCTTTTTTAGTGCATTTAAACTTCTATTTACGTGCTTTAATGGGAAACATGAGATACGTTTTGATAGATGAGGTTACGTTAACCTCGTTACAGGAAAATTAATATCTGTTAGTCACTGTATGGTAAGCACTGGGCTAAGTTATTGTCAAAACTTATCTCACATTGTCCCCATTAATAACCCAGTTTTTACAATGGAAAGAAGGATACTAATGAAGATTAAGTAATTTGTATAAAAATTACGCTCAGAATTTCTCTTAGAAATCTGAGCTGTGTCCACACAGATCTGTCTACTTGGAAACCCATGAACTTTCCTTTCAACCTTGTTTTCTTTATTCCTCTTCATTTCCCCCTCTATTTTAATTTAATTTGCTTACATTTTTTTCCTTTCTTGGTGCTGTATACCAGTTACTCTTCCCCATGAACCATTTTTTTTTTTTTTTTTTTTTGTGCGTCAAGACTGCTTTTCTTAGAAGGCAAGTTGTACAGAAGTTGAGGATATCTTTTGACGGATCTTACATTCCTTCCTTTCTTCCATTGTCTGCCCCCCCACCCCCTCAAAGCTCCCTCTACATTTCATTCCTTAAAATCCTGTGAGTTTGAACACTCCTGTTCTTTCTGTCATCACTGCAGTGTCTCAGGAAAGAATTTCATTCCATATGCTTTCAGGCACTCAAGGAACCAAGACATGAAAACGTGGAATTTGTCATTACCCATTTGGCCTCTGCTCCATCAAATCCAGTAGCTTGCCTCCAGGAGAGATCAGTCCTGGACTCCTCAGAAGAATCCCGTCTCTCTATTATAAATTTGGTTAATTGGAAAATGCTGGGATTTCTTTTAGGTAAAAGATCCTGCTGCACTTGGATAGCAACCAAGTCAGCCATATGGGAAGGAAAATAATCTACTGACTGGAAAAATAGAAATCATGGTTCTTGTGTTCCTTCAGATGGCTTTCGTGGACTACGATGAACTGTTTCTTTGAACTTCAGTTGATAGCTTTACAATGGGAATATCCTTATCTTTATTATATGAGTTAGAATATATCAAATGTGCAAATGAGAACCAAATCCTCTTGCCAGGAGAGAGAGTTCCTTTTTTTGGACTATTCCCCTTGCCTGACCACCATGGAATGTTACTGAGACCTGGCACTCTTCACAAAATCGGCAATTTCATCTCTTCTCCTTCATGTAGTAGTTCGTTTGTGAAAATGTGTTGAGTGCTTGGAAGCCTTGGGTAAAGAATGGCCTTGCTGTGGAGACAAATTGGCCAAGAAAAGCCAATGATATTGTTTCCTGTATTTGCCCTTCTATTCCTATGGGCTTATCTTAGATCCATTATCGCACCTGAGAACAAAACACATGACTAAGGAATATGGCAGAGCCGGTGAAAGAGTCATATGGAGATGTTGGCCCAATAAAGCGTAAGAATTCTCTTTATTCATGCGTTTCTGTGACACCACTTTCTCTAGAGAATAAAATACCAGAGATGAGGTGTGTGTTATTCTCTACCCAGCACTGGGACTAGTGGAAGGAAGGACTGGCAGAATCTCTAATGTCAGACCAGGCGATGAACTGAAGTACTTAATAGGCATTATGTGTTGTCAAGAAGTCGTCTTCTCCCAAGGGGATGAAAAGAAAATAGCCTCAGTCTTTCATGAGATGTGTGGCAATGCTTGGCTGAGTTTTCTAAACAACATATTGGCTAAATTGAGGACTGTTACATGTGTAAATAAATCAAGATTAATGAGTTGGAAAAAAATGTTTATTTCTTTCTGGAGACTACGGGAATCTTATACGATTTTGGTTGTCATTCAAATGCTGAAATTGTGTAGGAGCTTCAAAAGTGGGAATATCAATGAATTCATCCAAACTGTCTTTCCAGAATGATTCAACTTTAAGAAGGGTCCAGAGTTTCACAATCCCCAACATGGCCTGTATACATCCATTCATTACTTACATGAAGGTCATGTTCTTCTTAATGCATTGTGAAATTCACTTCCCTAGAATGTAGGACATATCTGTCTAGAATGGTTTAGGTAGAGATCATGTCTAGAGAAAGAGAATTAATAGATAATTTCAGTAACTTGGTCCTTTGTGTTTCTGTGAAACCCAGAGGAAAGTACCATAGATAATGAGCAGACATAGGACACTGCGGTTTGTGACTATCTTTTGTCTACACACATCTTTAGAGAATTTCCATCATTGAATATAATACTTTTACCAGAAAATAGACAAAAAAGTTGAAAATAGACAAAAAAGAAGAAGTAGAACAGGCTCTCTGGTTTCAAAGTATACGACCAGTAAAGACCCATGAGACTTATCTGTACCCATTTCTTTATAAGCTTTCATAGCAGTTCTGAGGCTAATTATGACAGAGCAGTCTATCCTTGATACTAAATCAACCACATGACCTTTTATTCTTCATAGTTTTGCTATTTTGCTGAAGTTTAAAATTCAGCCATATTTGGACAATTGGTAGAAGAATGTAAAAAGTTTGACTAAATTTGTTGATCATGAAATACAGCAAGAAGTACAATGTTAGCTACAAAAGAAAAAAAAAAATCTGAAGACAAATGATCTTAGGTCTCTTGCACAAACAAGGGGTGATGTCCTTCTTTTGAAACCTCTGTGTGGTGCTGAGACAGACTGGTTTATAGTCCTCATTTTGTCAGATAGTCATATGTTTTACATTTCAGACAAACCTTTACTCTTTGCTGAGTCAGTAAACAATATCAATATATTTTTAACGATTTGTCAGCATTTTGAGCAAATCAGAACTTGCGCTTCTGAAATATCTGTGACATGATCGATGGATTTGTTAATGCACACAAAAAAATCACATAGCTTCTCAGTAGCCTTTAAAGAAGCCTCCCTAACATACTGCCATTGTCACCAAGCTACATTTTCTTCTTTTCAAGGGTGGGTATAGAGAGACCAGGAAGTGAAGTTTTGTACCTTGATTCAGATAGTGTTGTGAGATTACAAATACAGCAGGCATAACATCCAGGCCTGGTGGTTCTTAATACTGGCTATGTGGCTAGCTTTTGAGTGACCACTGGAAAGGTTAAGGAATAGCCACAATTTTAAACATAGCTTTATGTGATTTAATCATCTTTAAATGCCTAAAGAACAATTAAGAGACCCATCATGTCTCTTGAGGTGTTTCATGTAATAAAACATTATGACAGCCTTAGAGGAATCGGATTTTATAGTGCCTTTATACTAAAC